GGCAAGTGCATTAGAAATTATCCTCAGACACATGGTGAGTTCAAGGTCATCCTGGGATACATGAGCCGGTCTGAAACAGAAAAAAAGCAAAAAAAAAAAAAAAAAAAAAAAAACACACAAGAATGAGCTGGCGCAGTGAATTGCACCTGTAAGCCTGTCACTCGGGAACCACAGCAGGACTGAAAGTTCGAAGCTTGCCTGGCTATACAGCAAGAGAGGAGAAGGAGGCCAAGGCCTCCTACACTCAGACCAGGAAGACAGAGCATAAGGGGAAGGTCACTGAGGCACAGCCTGCAAGACCAGAGGAGGACCAGGAGAGTGGAAGGGCTGGAGAGCTGGGCAGGGGGTTTCAACCTCTGTGTTCTAAAGAGACTGGTAAAATGCAGCCTGAGAGGGTCCTGTTGGGTTCAGCCACACCCAAGGCCACTGGAAACCTTGGTAAGAGCTGTTGTGGGATGATGGGGTGTTTTGTTTTGTTTTGAAGAGAGGAAAGGTTTATTTTGGCTCACAGTTAAAGGCAACATAGTCCCATCTAATTAGGGAAGGCGCGGGCGGCCCAAGTGGCTCCTGCTGTTGCAGCAGACTACAGGGAAGAAAAGGACGGAGCACCTTGAGACTTTCACATCGTCCTGTGCACTTAGTGTAAGTGCGGCTGAAGTGCACACAGGCCAGGTCGCCAGAAACTTTTCAGTGTACTGGAGGAAACTGGAGTGGTAGCTAGGGAGGGAATGCGCTTAATGGAGGGGTTTGTGCTTGTCGCTTGTTTTAGACGGAGTCCAGAGCAGCTTAGGCAGTGTCCACAATGAAGAGCGTGGTCTTCCAGGAGTGGTGTGATGCTGTAGGGACTGAGGGGGCAGTTGCATGAGGAAGGTCATTGTGAAGGTCAAGAGGACCAGGAACTCTAGGTGCATCTATTGTGAGCTTGCAGGAGTAGGTACAGCAGGGGAGCTTTGGGGGGTGGGGGAACTGAAGAACCAGATGCTCGCTGAGAACCTGGCTCTGCTGGGAAGGATGGGATGTTCGCTAAGTGCCATCTGCTGTACACAGGTCATCAGTTGAGGCCCAGGGCCAATTCCACTAGGCACTGTCTGTGTTTTACAGATAAGGAAACAGTAAGAGGAGAAATGCACAGTCAGTAGTAAAGAGCAGAGCTTGTCAGTCAGACCTCTGTACCCACCCACCAGCCTGGCCCGGCACCTGCCTTCCAGATGTTTAGGATGGACTTGATAAGACCTACATATGGGGAAAGTTAAAGAGCCATGTACTACAAGTGCTGCCCCCAGGCAACCTAGGAGCCTAAAGGAGCTGTCCGAGTTCTCAGGAAGCAGAGAAAAGCCAGGCGGGGTGGGGTCCCGCAGAAGTCTGCTGCCAGGAGTTAGCTGCCTGCCTCAGGTCCCTGGACCCTTGCTTCTCAGACCTCCCACTGCATAGTGGATGCGGACTCTTCTCTGTGAGTGTTCTCAAGTAATTTTGTGTTTTGTCTTTTAAAATCTCAGGGTGCTATGTCTGCTGTAGTTGTTTTAACATAAAAGTAGATGAAAACCCGGGAGAAGGATATGTATGAGGGTGTGTGTGGCGGGGGAGGCGGGGGATGGACAGGGCTGGCCTTCTAAGCCTCTGACACCTGCCACAACCTAGCTCAGTTTCTGCAACACCAAGAAACAGTAAAGAGGAATTGAGAGGTTTCAGTCCTTGAACGGTGAGAACAGTGAGCCCAGCTAGCAGCAGAGAGCAGCACTCCAGACAAAGGTCATGGAGGCCCAGGATGAGGTGTGCAAGGTGTACCCTGTGCAGCACGCTCTCTGTGAGGGGCAGTGTTTATATGTGTCCAGCCCTGGTGTACGTGTGTTTTATCCTCGTAGCTACTCTAGACATAATAACACTTCTCATACACAGAGGGTGAATAGTTGCTCTGGGCAGTACAACATGTGAAGGCTGATGGAGTCTAGCTCCACACCTGTACTCTTTGTCACCCTGTGATATTGCCAGTGATGCAGGCTGGGGTCAGGAAAGGGGCCTTGAACCTGTATCTGTGGTAATGAGAGTGCCTGAAGGTTTCTGGTCAGAGAGACAGAAGACCAAAAGAACCATCCTAGAAAGTCTGTCTGGCCAGGTATGAGAGAATGGAAGAGATGCGGGTGTGAGCATACCACAGGCAGAAAGACCGAGCGGGCGGGAAGCACTGACTGATCAAGACATGGGGCTGAGACCTCGGATTAACAGCGACAACTCAAAGGACAAAGAGCGATAAGACGTGTTGCAAAGGAAGTTAGTTGGCAAGACTAGTATTTGGAAAGGGAAGAACAGGAGGAGGGGTCAGGTCTGACTCAGGCTTGGAGTTTGGGTGGGCAGAGGAACATCGAAGCCGTAGGCAGGAAAGTGGTGATGGGAAGACAGGCTCTGCCTCATCCGCAGTTTGAGATGTCAACGGATGTCCAGCTGGGAACACCTGATAGGCAAGGCAAACACAGAGCTCCAGCCCAGCAGAGAGGCCCGGAAAAAAATGACATCTGGGGACAGAGTGGGCTCATCTGCACAGAAGTGACCAGTGACACCAGCATCATGGGAGAGTCTGTGAGAAGAGACAGGAAGAGGTGTGACAAGACAACACTTAGGAAAATTCTCTCCAGAAGAGGGTGGAAGAAAACCAGCCAACCAGAAGAGAGCGTCTGAGTGGCAGGAGGAGCAAGCAGGTGTCACAAGCAGATTAGCACTGGGCAGGCACTGTCAGGAGGAACATAAAGGGGGCGGTGGCCTTCCAGACTCTGTCTCCACATCCCCCCCTCATCCTGGCTTTGAGGTTCTCTTTGGG